ATATGTTGCTTGTAATCCAAGCTATATCATAATTTACAAAGAAACCACTGTAGTTACTTTTGAAATGAAACAAAATTTTTGTGACGCTCTCTATTTAAGAAGACCACTTTACCCTTGGGGTTGAACAGCATGATTTTTGTTTAATGTTGTGACTAATTGAGTCTTGTTTTTAAGGCTATATTTTAAAATTTACATTTAAAATCTTTAAACCCCCACAGAATATCTTTAGTACTATCATAACAAATGATTAATTAGCTACCTTATTCTTAACTTTTAAAAAGTACATTAAATTACAATTTAAATTATATTTGACTGATATTACCATAAAAAAGTTATTGAATAATAGGATATTGTAATGCACTGTTACAAAAAAAAACATAACTGAAGATGGTAAATTAATGCTATTGTTGGAGCTTTCTTTACACAGTTTTAATAAATTGTGTTTGGAGGTCCTAATTCAGTTGCATTCTTTTCAGAAAACTCGAGTTCCAGAGTCGGAGCTGTGCGCGGCCTGCCGGAAGAGAGTGTATCCAATGGAGTCTCTGGTCGCAGACAAACAAAACTTCCATAGGTTGTGTTTCTGCTGTTTCCACTGCAACGCTAAGCTAAGGTAATTCCAAGTACACCTAATGTTGTTGCTGTGTCATCACAATCACAAATGAACTCATGTAGGTCCCTCCAAAAGTTTTTGTTATACTTCTATACAGTTAGCTTGTCTTTTTTTGGTTCTCAATAAAGTTAATTTGAATTCTTTCCTGCAGCCTTGGCAACTATGCCTCTCTCCATGGACATTTGTATTGCAAGCCACATTACAAACAATTATTCAAGTCCAAAGGCAACTATGATGAAGGATTTGGACAGAAGGCTCACAAGGAGCTGTGGAACACCAAAATGCCAAAGAATACGTCAGAGAAAATCACGGAAAAACCCTCCCCTGAAATGTCTCATTCACAAAGATCTGTTTCAAGCAGCGGAGTAAGCACAGCAGAGAATGATATGCCGAAGACAAAGGCAACCAATGTCGACAAACCAGTTGATGAAACCAGGAAACCGCAAAACAAGATTGCGATTGTCTGGCCCCCTCAGGCCGAATCACCAAAGAATGCTTTTATCATTGATAATGAAGTGAAGCTAACCAAGCCAAGCTGGCCTCCCGAGCACAGCCTTCCAAAGACTGTCCCTGAAGTACCAAAGCATTTGAGAACATCCAAAGAATCCTCTCTGACAGAGAGAAGTGAAACTATGGAAACTGGGTTTATGGAAAACATCCCAGAAAAAGAAGACAAAGTAGCAGCTGAAATGCATGCCACACACTTGGAGGTGCCTGCGGATGTTGCAACATCTACTACCAACCCAATAGATGTAGAATTACATCCAGCTCTGGAACTTGAAGAGTCAGAAAATGAGATAAATGCGGCAGAGCCAGAATGGAGTGTACCTAGAAGTAGAGGAACAAGTGATGTGTGTAGAGAAGAAGTAGCTAATGATGCTAGAGTATGTCAGGAGGTGGAGAGTGTGCAAGTTAGTGTGCATAGAGAGTGGGCTGAGAAGACAGAGCGTGCTGGAGATGTAAGTGAAAAAGAGGATAGTGGGGAGAATACAATGTCGGAGAGCGTGCCGGTAACAGTGATCGATGGTGAGGCGGCACGGCACGAGGAAGAAAATGCAAACTCCAATAACAACAACAACAACAACAACCAGTTATTATTCAAGAACAAGGTGCTGTGTCTGGAATTTGATAACGTTAAAATGACTGATAATGTTCCAGGTGGCTACACCATAAGGGTCACACCTGAGTATCCCGTCGAAGAAGGTCTACGTGTAAATGATCCAGAGGAAGCTCAGACAACTTCGAGATGGAGTCAGACCTATAGTGCCTTACAGCTAGCTGAAGAAAAGGACGCTTTTGAACCATCAGGTGGCAAATATACAGAGGATGCAGAGAATAGTGTATCTAATGACTTGTTTCAAAAAAGTACACTATTCTTTGAGAAGGTAGCACCGTTGAGTCCTTTAAGCTTTCTGGAGGACGTTTTTGCAGGACTTGACAGTGGCTGTAGTCTGTCGGCTGGTGATCCTTCCAAAGAAAAGCCTCTGGCCTCTCTTTTGGATGACCTTCTGGATTTTGGAATTGAATCAAGTGATTCAAAACAAGTGGGATCAGATTGGTGCCCTGACTTCTTTCCCACAAATGTCTGCAGTGCTTCAGAACAAACTGGAACTGGAACAAATAACTTGAGGAAGGCTGAATGGGAGACCCTGTCTTTCGAGGAACTTATTAAAAGAAACAGACATCATGACAATGATGAATAAACCAGGCTTGTTTTAAGGGAAAACTTATAATGCAACATAATATTCTTAACCAGACTAGATTTCTACACTTAAAATCACCTAATTGTTTTGTCCATGGAGAGATGTATTAAATCAAATTAAATGTATGCTTACAGAATTGTTTTTTTTTTTTTTGTTAAAGTTCTGCCTGGGTTTCTGATTGCAGAATGACATTTTTAAAACTTGCCTTTGAAAGCACCTGGTGTGCATTTCAGAAAAAAATTATCAAGGCAATTTTTGTTGTTTGATAAAATATATACTTAATTTCACATTATTTGTGCTAGTTTTGAATGTTTTTTTTTTCATATAAACATTTGGCCATGTTTTGTTTTGCTTTGTTTGAAAGAATTCCTAATGGCATTTTAACTGCAAAGCTGGGATACAGTGTATCCTGATTTCAAACCTTCCCCTTTTCCACGCTGGTCTGCTTTTGTATTCTTAGTGGATAGTTGCAATGCTGTGTGGCTTAATTAAAGGCCCACCTGATTGATACAAGGTATTGGGTATGCTTTACAATAACCTTTATGGGAGTTTGATTTCAAAGAAGCATATGCTGTATAAGATGAGCTCAGATTCATTTTAACAGCACAATGAAATGTATGAGATAAAAACTGTACTATATAAATCATTCAGATATGCTGTTATAGACATTAACCAGGAAGCTTTTTTGTCTGTCACATTTAAATCTCTGTGGAACCATAATTAAACAGAATCCCTTCTTTAAATACCAATATAAACTGGTAATGCAGGAAAATCTAATATATGTAAATTGTCCTTTACAGATACGCCTGGTCAGCAAGCACATGTTAAAATACATTAACATACCAAAGAATATTAGCTTGAAATTTTTATATTTAGATATATATATAGCTTTGTGTTCCTCACAGAAATGTACGGAGGTATTTTGATTTTGTTTTATTTTGTAATTTGAAATAGTAATATTTTGAAACACACTCAAACAGGTGAAATGCTAATTTTGCTAATTGAGCCAGTCTCATTTATATTGCGAATGTATATATGCTGGACAGATTTCATGTTATTTACCAGCCATTAAAATAATGTTGCAGTTGTATCACACCTGTGCCTTAAAATGCAAACCATATAATTCACCTTATTTTATGAGGATTATCATGTACAGTGTCAAATTAAAGATGCCCTGTGTGAATATATTGTCAAAGGAAAAAAAAAACGAATAACTAATGATAATATAGGGGGGAAAACTGCTGTTGTTTAAGGGAAGTGTTATATGCTCCTTCAAATTTGAAGTGCTTCATGTTACAGATTAAAGCTGATTAGGAGAACATGTGTAGTGTTATTCTTGTTTTAGCATTTGGTAATATTATTATTTTACCACTGTGGATTGTCAGACCATGGAGCTGAGACTAAAAGCTGCATTCAGCAAGGCCACCTGCATGCTTGACATAGCTGTGTGTTCTCTAGCTAGGACATACTGTCAAATTCAGCATGTGGTTTTGGACAATGAATAAAAAGGAACATTGGCACCACTAAAGCATGCTCCGCATCACCAAACTGTTCAGAAAGACACATGGAGAAACCTGTCAGTCAAATACATGTACCCAGTGCAAAACCCTCAATTTTCCATTGGCTTAAGGTCATTAATGAATTAAGTAATAATTGAATTATATTAATTCTTATTAAAAGTAGTTTTTAAATCATAAATTGTTGGTGAAAATACTTTACAACATTCAAAATTGCATTCTTTATATTTATGGCAGTTCATATTAGTATTACCAAAAACGTCTTAAATCCCTCATGTCAATAAGCCCTACCCTGTTGCTATTCTTTTGTTTAATTTTTACAGAAAATCTGTTCATTTTAACCACACACTTGTGGCACCTTGTAATTTATTCTTCAGAATCTATGTTCCTTTCATTCTAACAGGCCGGTACCGTATTTGGTTAATACAAAAGGGCCGAAATTACGTGCTTGTATGATTTCTAAATGCTACATAATTAAGGTTTGCTTTAACATTACAGGGATTATAGTGCGATCAGATTTCTTTGTATCTAAAACAAATCTGTGACATACATTTTTTCAGTGTCAATCAATGCGCCTCTATTCACTCGTTACATGCAGATGTCACTTTTACACACTTGTTTGCGTGACCGTTTAACTTCGAACTACATTAGAAATTTCACAGCCCACATCCTTAGCTGTATAAATACTTGCCATTTTTTAGACATTTCTCCAAATTTTCCCGAATGTCTTTCAGATTTATAAGCGGCAGTGTAACTGAAAACCTAAGGACATGTTTCGACTAATTAGGCATGTATCACGCTATAGGGTACGAGCTAAGGATTTTTTTTTTTCGAAAAAGCAATGTGAGCTGTTCAACTGGTGTACTTAGTCACATTTTTATGGCGATTTGTTTCCATTTTGTCTAAAAAAAATACTGTAACTTAAAGTTTAAAGTCAACAGAAAAAATATCAAAACACAAAGAAAAAAAACCCTTTTCCCAAACCTTAGGGGCATGTAAAACGACCGAACTGCAAACTATGGAAAGGGATCCGTGCGTTACTAACGTCAATCTACCATGCTAAGCAAAATATCTTTCTGTCTGATTGGCTATCAGTCACCTCGCAGAGCCCCCTCATTCGCCCGCTCTCATGTCAAGCAGTGAGCCAATCCTACCCCCGCATTCAGCTATCACGTTTCCTAGATAAGGATAGCGCCTTGTTCAGAGATGCTGATCAGAGGACAGTCGTAGCATCAGTACCACTACTGATTTCGGTGGGATGGAGGCGAAAAGCTTGGTAGGTTTAGTGCTTCTTTTTTATTCATTCTGGCATTTTAAATATGGAGTTATGGTCTCCCACGAAAATGAGCGCTTTTAAAATATTCCAAAGAGGCTTTTGGTGTAACCTTCACGTTAAGCGGTTATGCCGTGAGATTTGCAGTGAGATGTTTTCGGAGCCACTTGAAGCACTTGGCTTGTTCTGGTTGTCGCTGCAGAAAATGAAGTTTCGCTCCGATCAGTGCTTTATGTGATATCAGGCACTCCGGTGTCCTCGGAGGGACGCACCGTGTGTCGGACTTTGCAGTTTGGCTGCACTGGGGCAGTGCAAGCGATGGTGTCACTCAGTGCATGAAACAAATGGGGACAGCGAAGACATGCATGGCGTTCACGATTGTTGCCATTTACAGTATAAATGCTGAGCTTATACTTGTCGTACGAGGGGGTCATAATTCATTACGGACTTTGTGAAACGGACTCGTAACCTACTTAAAAAGTCGATTTTCGACCCTTTATGAATTAAGTAAAAATGAGCGATAAGGTATAGCTTAGAAAAACATCGCATAGTTGCACGCGAGAGGTAATAAGTTATGGGGTTTAACATACAGTATGCTTTCTTATTATTTCCTTGCAGAACAAATACACATTTTGTAATTATGGGTTGCCCCTGACTAAATTAGTCCCCAAACTGATTTTTCATTATTTTTCGTATGAATATTGTTTTCTCCGATGTCAGTTGTGAATTCGGAGATTGCAACCGCTGCATTTCTGAAGCAAAAGTAACATAAAGCTTTTAGTTACGCTTTATTAACATGTTCACTCTTTTCTACCATGCATATTACAAGAATAATAAACAAAAAGAAAACGCTTAATATTCATTTCGGTCTTGGGGACAGTGGCCAAAAAGAGCAACAAATTAAATTAATGCGTAGTATCATTTATACGCAAGATGATAATGAGATTGTAATGTATGTACAAACAAGTCATAACGTTTATCAATTACACTGGGCTGCTGTACATATATATATATATATATATATATATATATATATATATATATATATATAATTGAAACACATTAATTCAATATTCGGGCAATGAATTTCTTTTACCTGAACCTCAAGGGCAAAGATATTGATATGTACGCTTGGCTGAAAACCCGTTAATCAATATGCTACACCCAGTGATGGGAATTAAGTGCATTTACCCATACATTTTGACTCCGTGATAGTGTGAAGTGTCAAAACTGGAGCATCCAGACTTTGTGGAAGTTAATTGTAATTATAAATCGTAAATTGGAAAACATATTATTCTTCTCTGTAGTTCCTTCATTGTGCGGAACAGCCTTATTTCTTGTCTTTCATGGGTTATTCTGTGCAATAGAAGCAAGCAGAAAACCCTAAGAGGGCTGTGTAGCATGAATATGTAGTTTGTCACTGTGCTGGAATATGCAGATCTTGCCAGCTGTCCTCTTGTTCTGTGTGTTTTAGCTGGTTACATTTTTAGCACTGCAGGCTGCGCGGCTGCCGTGACTTTGAACTGGGTGTCTTGACCCTTCCTTGGCAGGTGGTTTAGTGACAGGCTGAGAAAAGCTGCTAACAAATGACAAATACTAGTTAGAAACGCAATGATAGCCAGAGGAAGCAAAGGAACATGCATATCACTCCTGTACAGTTAATCATTCTGTGGAACTTTCACGACAGGTTGCCTGCTCATCAGAGACATACTTCCATGGACAATTAAGAGTCACTGGTTCACCACGCAGAATTAAATTTGAGAGGGAACCTATTCAAAAGAGAGAATAACAGGATGGTTTATATTGATCTAGCTGGATTTAGACAAGTAGCCCAGGAGAACAATAATATGCACTGCGCCAGTGTGTTAGTTTGGGTTATTAGGGAAAATTGAAAAATCGTAGAGGACTTTTGCTGCAGGATTTAGCATGTATCAGAGGCACACTATATCGTTAATGAAATATGAGCTCTTTTGCATCTTCATGGCAATAATGAATTTATTGGTGTCTAATTGCTTCCAGAACCAAGCAGAATTTATGTCATTTTAAAATAGATGCTAATGGTGTCAGTTGAGAGTTTGCTCACCATGTTCTTGATGAATGGATTCAACATCATCCTACTTTGGCTCCAACGTGAAGATTTTTGTCCTTGCACAACGGCTTGGTGCATCTGCGTGGTCTGCCTCTTTGTCCCATCAGACAGCCGGAGTTAATACAGCGTATTAACAGCCAGTTTTACAGTGGTCTCCCCTGTTAGTCATTCACTTTTTGTTTGGAATTTGGCTGTGACTCTTAAGAAGTAAGACTAAAAGATCATTTTTAACACTGGTAAAACATAGTGTGTCTTATTTGTTTTGTATTTATGTTAAACGCATCTTTTATTCCTAATTCATAATTCACCACTGCCGTTGGATTTCATTTTTATATTTTGCATTTTAGATTTTGCATTGAATTTTTATATTTTAAAATATTAGTATGCTTTATATTACATTTCAGAGGTATAATAATCGAGAGGGAAATGACACAGTACATTAAAGAACGTGCACTGGCTTTGTTATTTAGCAGTTTTTTGTTTTTTTTGGGGGGGGGTGAAAGTTACATTACTATTCATATATGAAGTAAACATGCTTTTTTCATCTTTTGACAGCCCTTTTTTGCCTGCATTGTACACTTTTTCACTTATTGCATGATGAACCCACTTCTCAACTGGCTCTAATCTTTCAATTTACGCCTTCCGTGAGAAGTAAGGGATTTATGCAGTCTGTTTACGCCACAAAATATTGTCCTTTCAAAGCTGCTGACGGTATCCTTTCTAGATTTTCATTGCCGTGTGATTACTTCAATTTAAAAGGACATAATGTCAGAAATATACCTATAATGAGTTTAGAAAAGCTGGCCTATATTCTGTATAAAATGTCCTTTGCAGTATGTTCCTCCATGATTAAGAAAAATAATAACAATTAAAAAAGTAAAATACAGTAATTGCAGTAGGATGACAATGTGTAGTTCTACCTGTAGGGGGCGTTTGCTTTAATGCTGTATGGATGGGCTGCCACAGTGGCTCAGTGGGTAGCACCTCCTCTTTGTGTGGAACCTGCACACTCTCACTTTTGGGCTAGCAGGTTGCCCAGGTTGTTCTCCTACCTTGCTGCGGTTGCCTCCAGACTTCCTGTGAACGTGTCTAGGATGAGCAGGTGGAAGATGGATGGATTCAGCGATTTTAATGATGGCGGGGGGGGGGGGGGATTTAGCACCAGTGGTACTAGCCGTGTTTGGGATGCAGCTTTATATGGCACATGGTATCCATTCTGGGTCCAAATGTCCTACAATGGGGCGTGGCAAACCCCCACCATGATGCCACCTCAACAATTCCAACGCTAGAGGAGGTTTATGGTTTACCCACTCGATGTGGGCCGCGGGGTGTTCTATAACAGGTAGAGCCGGGGCCCAAGACAGACTATATCACGAAAAGGAGGATGGTATTTCTGAGTGTTCAAACTGCTCCACTGAAGCGGACTGGACTGGCCTGATAGGTCGAATATAGAGCTACATCAGAAGCAGCTTGCTAGGGGTGATACTCCCACCTCTTTGTGAGATGGGGGTGTTTGCTACAGCAGTAATTGCCAGGGTTGGCCCAGAATCCATGTTCCCTCAATCTCAGGCTCTGGAGTCGCTTGCCAGTGCTCCTGAGATCGGCCTCGTCTGAATAGACTGACTGATGTGCACGACTGGTGGGTCAACGGGACGCAGAAGCTGTCTGTGACTGACCCGTTTTATAGACAGAGCAGGCTGGTTATGAGCAGCATTGGTGCCAGAGATATTCTGATAGTCAGGCTCAAGATTTTTTTGGAAGGGCACGGGGGGGTCCCCAACTATTCAATTTGACAAGGCATATTTAGGGGGGGGGGGTTGATCGTGCAGTACGATCTCTTTTTTTATGGGTGGCAATTGAAGGCAGTGGAGTTAAACAAATATGTTAAATATTCACGATTTTTTACAATTTCTTTTAGGATGAATGTCTCCATTTAAAAATAAAATTTCATAAAAGACTGTGTCCTTGGTCTGTGCCATTTGGAGGAACACAACGGCCCATTTGGGGGAGCATGGCCGACGAATGCCCCCCCCCCGCCCCCCCAGGTTGTGATGTTTTTCATCAAGGATGTTTTGCTACATCCTTGAGAGCTATGTAACTCACCAAGCAGTTGGCTGTCTTTCTAAATAAATGGGCATGAGCTCCTACATAATAGAATAATGGTTGTTGTTTCTGAAAGATCTCAAATATGTAGTTGAATTTCAGAAACGCTTAGTTAGGAAATGAGGAAAAAAAGAGAGTATGAGGGCATTGGTTCTATACTGGTGAAGTGCTCTTAACTGAGAGAAAGGTGAGTATGATTTTAGAACAAATAAAATTGGTGCTCCACTGAGTAATGTTGGCTGAATTGATGGCATTACCTTCACACCAGTGTTTCCTGGCACTAACAGCCAGAAAACATGCTGGAATGAATTGAAGGAAATTTATTAAGCCCAGTGCCAGATTTTATTTTTTTTTTTTTAAATTTCGCATTTATAATAATTGTTTGCAGGGCATGGAGCTTGTAGATGACTGCTGTACGTGAATGCTTGGGCATTTTTTCAGATTTTTACAAGTTATGAAATACGATTTGAAAGCTTACACATGTATTACTTACCCACATGCTCATTAAACCTCCTGTTTTAGTGAAAAAATAAAATACATCCATCCATCTTCCAGGCGCTTACCCAGAACAGGGTTGTGGGGTGAAAAAATAAAATACAAAATAGATTTCCTACGTGCAAGGAATTGAAATCCGTTTTGGGGAGACTGTCTTCTAGTTTATTGTCACTTACACTGACTGCGGTGCTACCTGAGTATAGTATTCAAACCATCGCTGCTTTATTAAAAAAACATAATGTTCAACCATTTAAGTATTTCGTATTTTTCATTTTCAGCATTGGTACAGTTGTTTACAAGTCCTTGTAACCATATC